AATATGTTTTTATTTTGTTTTTGAATTTTTTATTTAATCTAATTTGTGTGTATTTATAAGATTTTTTATTGAAAAAAGAAAAAAAGAATTACATATAAGAATTGAAAAAGAAACTAAGTAAATAAAATAAAAAAACAAAGCCCATGCACTGAGAAGAGTTTGTCAAATATATACCCCACCATTTGTATAATAATCAATGTATGGGAGACATGGGTATGGGAGCAGGCATTCTGCCCATACATTGTCCCTTATAAATAGGACGATGCATGATTGTAAATTTCAATAACATATTTTCATTCAGTAAACATACACATTCGCAAATTCCTTCTCAATTATATAATAACAATTTTTATTTTAATTTTTCTTAATCACGGTTCATTATTTTTGGTTTGATAATTGGTATTTATAGGTGGGGATATGATATGATTATTAACTTTGTTTTTGATATCGGTATGAAGAACACTAATATGGGATCAAAATAGAAATAATAAATAAATAATAAAAATCGGATATATATAGTATTAAAATTTTATTGCTTTCAATATTCTGTTACTTAAATATAATGCTATATTAAACATAAATATGAGTTTTTATTTTTATTTTTGAATTTTTGATTTAATCTAATTTGTGTGTATATAAGATTTTTTTATTGAAAAAAAGAAAAAGGATTTAATATAACAATTGAAAAAATAAAATACAAAAACAAAAAGCCGATGCACTGAGAAGAGTTCTGTCAAACATATATATGCCCCCATCATTTGTATAATAATGAATGTATGGACGACGACGGTATGTTAGCGTGCATACTTCCCATACGTTCTCCACTATAAATAGGACGATGGGTGGTTGTAAATTTCAATAATATATTTTCATTCCATCTTCAGTAAATATACGCATTCGCAAATTCTTACTCAGTTAAATAATAACAATATTTTTTTCTTCATCTCGATTCGTTAATATGATAATAAATAAGTAAAATGTTCAATTACTATCGAATCTTGTCTTCTTAAAGGTCATTTTGGTTAAATAGTTGATTTTGGTAGGTGGGGATGTGATTATTATTATTGTAATTGATATAGTTATGAGTAACAATAATATGGTGTTTGGGTTGTGAGATTCGCTATAAATTGATAGCAAATTAGTCAACAATCCGTGGTTTGTTCAATTGATTGGGACAAATTGGACGGGATTGGAAGAAAAAAATGTGAAATACCATTTATTTGACCATAGCAAATATCACAATAGTTCAGTTTATGATTATTTAAAAAAAAATCCACTTTTATGTGCTAAGCTTGATGGTATTTTTAATCGTATCAGAAAATAAAAGGTTTTATTATAGGTTTCCCATTCTCTTTTAAAAAAGTTGAAAAGTTACTAGTAAATATTTGTTGTTACAAAATAAATGGTTGATGCTAAATTAACCTTTCTCTAGAAATGAAGATATATTTCTACATACATCGCCATCCAGATAGTCTATACTATCTATAAAAGCGTGAATGTTAGGAAAAGTTTCTTCCATTTTTTGTGTTTCCTAATTTGTCCCTTACATAGGTTATATTTTTAGGATAATACAGTAATCTTGTTTATTTTGCTAATTATTCCATTAAAGAAAGTTGTAATGGTTCATCCTTAACTTTTAACTCTTGGAATTCTTGAACCCATTAGTCACCACATGTTCATTCACCGTGCAACCATCTTCATTGTTTGAGTCTCTTGGTATTCTTCTTTCACGCATTTGCACTTTTATTATCAATAACATGGTAATTGAAAGAAGTTTGTATCTCCATTATGAAAAAAAAAAATCTCTTTATATAAGATAGCACACAGTGGTTAAGTTATTAATAAGAAAATAATTGACCATTAGATTGGTTACATGTAGCAATACCAAAAATATCTAGGCTCTTTTATTATACACACATACACACTATTATGTGTCATTCTCACCATGCTGTGAATCCAGTGTAGAAGAGGAACTATTAGGAATAGATTTTTTTCCCTAGGTGCATTAGTATTTGTCTATTTATTTGTTTTTTGGTGCATTATCGTTTGTCCCTTTTTTTTTTCTCTCGATGTAGCATATGACGTTTGTTTATGGTGTTACATGCGTGGATTCATATGAGCTCATTGTAATTTAATTTTTCCGAGCAATATTTTATATGAAGATGTCACTGAAGTTAAAGATATATGCCCTCTACAGAACAAATTGTTCATATGTAATAATGTTTTCGATGAATTTTTAGACATCCATGTTAATACCATTACTTGTAATCCCTTTATCTTTTTGTAAATGAATTTCAATAGTCATCGTGACACTGGATTTCTTGACAGTTATGTAGTAAGTTTAATACAACAACTAAAGCTTTTAAGTGGTGGCTGAAATTGCATGCATAGTTGAGTGGTAGATCAGATGTAATTTTAGTTTCACAATCATTTTTTACTATTTCACGTTCATTTTTAACTATTTGTGGGTGCATTATCGTTTGTCCCTTCTTTTTCTTTTTTCTCTCCATGTAGCATATGAAATGCGTTTGGTTATGGCATTAAGATCTACGACATGTGGATTCCTATAAGTTCCTGTAATTTAATCTTTTCGAGCAATGTTTTATACAAAGATGTCACGGTACATTATTTTTTTCTCTCGATGTAGCATATGAAATACGTTTGTTTATGGTGTTACATGTGCATTCCTATGAGCTCATTGTCATTTAATCTTTTTGAGCAATGTTTAATATGAAGATGTCATTGAAATTAACAATATATGCCCTCTACAAAACAAATTGTTCATATGTAATCATGTCTTTGATGAATTTTTAGACATCTCTGTAAATGTCATTAATTGTAATCTCTTTATTTTTTAGTAAATGGATACGGTCACTGTGACAACAAATTTCTTGACAGTCTTGTTATAAGTCTAATATAACAAACTAGAGCATTTGTACGCAGTGACTGAAATTGTATACATAGTTGAGTGGGAGATCAGATGTGATTACACGATCATTTTTTACTATTTAACTTCTATTATCGAATATGATATTCATAAATTAATTGACTAAATCTATCTATATATTTTTTAAAGCATGAATCTCTATCCCTTTATGTTGCCCTCATTTTCCTTGAGAATTCTACAGAACCGCATTTCAACTTGATAGATCTCTTTTGCCTCTTATATTTAGAAAATTTGTCGCAAATTCTCCAACTTTAATTCACATCTCTTCTGCTATGCAATATTTAGAATTCAAAAGCTGCCTTAACTTAAAAAAAAAAAATCCAATAGACTTCGGTCCTCATCCGAAACATCATTTGCATGCCCATAATCTATCACTAAGAGGGTGATTGGCTAGGCTTATAAATTGTTAAAAATACTTTATGATGTTTAAGAGCTTATAAGCCCTTCCAAAGTGTTTCGTATTTTTTCCCAAAAAGATGTTAAAAATTCAATACATAAGCTGTTGGAGAGCTTATAAGATTTTTTTAACGTACCTATATCCAAGATTATAAAAAGCGGTAATCAGGTCGGAGGCGGTCAGGGACCGACTCACGATTAATCGGTGCAGCGGTGATTAATCGGTGATAAATCGGATATATATCGGTTTTATAAATTTAATATAATATATTTCTAGATATTATTTATAAATACTCAAAACATATATAAAAAGATATTTAAACATAGTTATATCTCCATCATGTATATATCTTAATAAAATAATAAAAGTTTAATAATAATAAGATCATAATACATAAATATCCTTATAAAATATAAATAAAAAAGCATTTTTTTTAATTTACATTTATTCTTGAACATTCCTAACACACATCATTAGTTCTTTAACAATAAGAGTTAACATCAACAAAATAAAACATAAGCTCATATTTTGTTTATTAAAATCCCAACTTTTATTTTGAATTATTAAAAATAAAATAAAAATAAAAATAAACCGATTTTTGCCACCAAAGTTTGACCCGCTATAAAGGTTTGACCGTCTCAGACCGCCTCAAACCGCCTCGGACCGCCTCAAACCGCCTAAAACCGCCTCATAGGCAAAAAAACGATTTTTCAAACATTTACACTAAAATCGTAAAGGTTTTTGACCGCCTTCGCCTCGAAGACCGATTAATCGGCTGCCTCAGCCGATTTTTAGAACATTGCCTATACCCAAGGTTGTAAATAGTTGTAATCGTGTCGAAGGCAGTTAGACACCGACTCACGATTAATCGGTGCGGCGGTGATTAATCGGAAATAAATCAGTTGTTAAAATGTAATATAATATATTTCTAGATATAATTTATAAATACTCAAAACAAATATAAAAAAAATATTTAAACATAGTTATATCTCCGCATGTATATATTCTAATAACATAATAAAAGTTTCAAAATAATAAGATCATAATACATAAATATCCTTATAAAATGTAACACCCCGCGTTTCCGATACCCGATTTCCGTATTTTCCCTCTCGTCTCCTTTGCATGAATATGTGTTGTATGTGTGAATTTTATTAGTTGCTTTTCAATTTGCTTTATTTGCTATTTATGTGAAATTATGTGAACTAATGTGCATTATATGTCTACATAAATATTTTTGATTTTATTCTCTATTTGCGCAACTAAAATGTATTTTATGTGTTTAATATAATTGAACATGTGAAATTATGTGATTTACGTGGATTTAGTTTTAGTAACATAAGAATTTATTTTCTCACACTAGAAAGTTTATATGCTTAATTGATAGTAATTTCCTCTTTTTAAATTGGCTAGGATTGTATGTGTTGCATGCATACACTTATTCCATGTGCATTTCCACTTGGCTTTTCATTTAGCATTATTTTTAAGATATCTTAAATGATATTGCCTAGAAGTCCCTCTAGATTATTTCAAGTTACTCCTAATTGCAAAAAGACCCCTCTTCATACTTACTCATTAAGAATACAAGCCTCTTCAATTCTATAAATAACACCCTCTCCTCTTCATTTCCACACACCAAAAATCAGCCAAGTCCCCTTTTCCTTCCCCCTCCCCATCGATCAAAATAGCCCAAGTAGAAGAAGAAATCTCTTCTTCTAATTCAAGCCTTCCCCATTAAATCTCTTCCTATCTTCTTCCTTAATTTCGAAATTTGTAGTGTGGTAAAGTTCAAGAACTCTTTTCATTTCAATAAAAGAGGTTCTCCAAAAAGAAGTTGGGTTGCAAATATCCACAAAGTTCTTCAAATTTTGAAAAGATCCTAAGGTAAGAATCGTGGAATTCTTGCTACATCAAGCTAACATCAATAGTATTTCCTTCTCTTCTCTTTTTGAAAAACTCCCCTTCTTGATTGTTTGAAGAAATCGAATGTTTTATGAAAGAAAGTGTTCATAGTGTGTTATATTATATGTTTAGTCTCATGCATGTTAAGATCCATGCTTGAATCCTTGATCTTTGATGAGAAAAATGATGATGATGTTTTGATATGTTTAATTTCATGTTTAAAGCTTTGCATGTGAGAATCTAGCTCTTGATTCTTGATTCTTGAAAGAAAATAGAAGATTGGTGAGAAAACCGAAAATTTGATGATTATATGCTATGAAATTAATTATCTTGATGTTTATAATGATTGCATGTTAAGATTTACTAATTATGATTATATGTTGAAGGTTTTGATTTGAGGCACATAAGTTGATTGGGTCTAGAATCTTGAAATAGATTGTTATATGTAAAATTTTCAGATTCATAGGTACGGATTTTAACCCATGTTTCACCCACGAGTTTAATTATGAAAAATACGAAATTTTAGATGAGGATAGATCTTTCTATTATGGTCATATTGATATGTGGCTTGTAATTTTTGGAGTAGAAATGAATGAGTTATGAATTATTTACCGAAACTGTACAGAACTAGAGTTAGTTTAGAATTAGTAATGAAATCTAACGTTTTCCTATTTCAAATTTAGTGAATCAACTTGGAACAGAACCCCAACTTAGAAAACTCATTTGAGATAATATTTGGCAGTGTTTGACACAGTAGATAATTTATAAGAAATATTTGAAGTCCCCTCCCCTGTTCTGAGTTTTAAACTGCACTACTGTACCATTTTACTTATTTATCCTAATTTCCTAAATATTTTCTAAAACTGTTTTTCTGGGGTATATAAGACTCCTAATAGTATTTGTAGTTAAAATTTCAAAAGGTTTGGATGAATATGTAAAGCTCAATAAAGTTTTAAAGTGACTCCATCTGTTCAGATTTCAAAACTGTACCACCTTAGAAATTTATTTATATCTCTTACTCGGATAATGATTTTTCTAAACTGTTTCTCGGTGGTTTTAAAGGCATATAAAGGAGTATGTAGTAAAACTTTCAAAGCCTTTTGATTTGTGGTGCAAGAGAAATGATTTTTCAAAGTTAGGATACCAAAGCTGTTTGATTTTCTTAAGATGACTATTTTTATCAAAGTATGATTTGTGATCATGGTTCTAATATACGAGGTAGGAAAGATAAGTTAGTGATGAAGGTGAAACCTCTAAGTAATGGTCTAATGATCTAAGTTTAGGTATTATGTTGCATGTTATAAGAGAGAATTAGAGTCTACTAGCCTAGAACGGTGTTATGAATCAAGTGCAAGATTTAGAAAAATGATTAATTGATTTATAATGATAAATTAGAATACTTGATTGTTTTCGTATATTATTTGTGATGTTATGTGACCCTTTTGAAATAAAGGTTTATGTATTAAGTGATTAGACTAAAGTAATGCCGTATGTGATAATTTTCATAATTCATGATATGAGTGATATTGATATGCTATGAATGACATGGTTATATGATTATGTGATTACAATATGGTTAAAGTTGAAGAATGCCCTTCTTGGTGCTACTATGTGATAATAAATATTTATGTGTGTTCATGGAATGAAATGTGAAGTAAAGGTGCTATGTTCTATATGATTATGTGTTCAATGATTTGATTGAAGATGTGAAGTATAATTGTTGTGATACTTGTTACTTTTATGTTTGTTTATTTGATTAAACATAGATAGATCATGTAAGCTTCATGTCATTCATTAGTAAGTCTAAGATGCATACATCACGATTTTTCAAAGTTAAAAATGTTTGGAAATTGGTTGTGGATCTAGGTGAATAAGTATGGGATACGGGGGGCTGGTATCCCGTTAGTGGTTGATAATTGGGGTCCACATAGGGGCCTGTCCACATAGGGACTGATTCACATAGGAATCGGGATTATAAACCACTAACTCGGCTATAGTAAAGTTATAGCCGTGACTATATTCCGGTTAGTGGTTGATAGTTGGGGTCCACATAGGGGCCTGTCCACATAGGGACTGATTCACATAGGAATCGGGATTATAAACCACTAACTCGGCTATAGTAAAGTTATAGTCGTGACTATAGTAAAGTTATAGATCACAAGCTCCAAAATACACGGCTTATTGCCGAACTCCACGATTGTTTTTCCAAACGGGCCCAATGTTTTCTCATGAAAAGTTTTAAAAGTCTAAAGTCTCATTTTCATGCATATTGCATATTATAGTATAGAAAAGAAGGGTGTTAAGTACCCGACTTTTGCATATTAAAGTAAAGAGAAAGAAGGGTGTTAAGTACCCGACTTTTGAAAGAAATGAAAGGATGTAAAGTATCCTTGAAAGATTTAAAGGAAAGGTAAAGGTAAAGTATAGTAAGTGTAAGTTTCGAATGATCGTAAGTTTATTATGTGTTCGTGTATACCTATATATATATGTGTGTATATATATAAATTATGTGTAAAGTCTTTTTCAAAATCTTGTTATTACTTCCGGATTCTTACTGAGTCTTTTTAAAGGCTCATATAGATGTTATCTTGGTGTAGGTAGCTCATGATCCGAATCTGAGGAGCAAAGTTGAACCAAGTCCGGGGAAAGCCGAGGAATCGAGCCGTATGGAATTTATGTGGATTTAATTAACTTCCGTTTTGGTACTTAAATCTTTTTAGTGGATTGTAATCCGTAGTACTTGGATATGTTATCGGGAAATGATTTTTAATCCTCATGTATAATATAATGTTTTCCGATTATTCTTATTCATTTCTAATGTTGATTTCTTAAGAGCTCCACCACAATTCGAATTTATTATTTGAAGCAAGAAAATGTTTAAAGGAAAATGTGGCACCGAATAAAGAGTGAAGTTGTTTTGACTTAAATCTATGAAGTGTTCGACTTCAAGTGTTTTTCAAGAAAGATTTTTATCGAACAAAAATTGAAGCGAAACACTTCAAGTATTTTCAAAACTAGAGAAAAACTTTACCACCTTTCTCTAGAACTTTGTTTCGAAAAAACAAAACCGTATTTTTTTCAAAAGGTCTTCCGCTGCAACTTAATAGAAAAACCTTTATACCATTTTCCGGTATAGAGTGTAAAGTAAACGGGGTGCTACATAAAATATAAATAAAAAGGCAATTTTTTTGAATTTGAATTTATTCTTGAACATTCATGACGTACATCATTAGATTCTTTAGCCATTCATATATTCGTTTTTCATTTCATTGATTCTGGTTAGTTGATCATCGTTTCTTATTGTCATTTTAGTTCAATTATCCATCGGTTTTGAGGTTTTCGTGCTCTTTGCATATAATTTTCTCAAAATTTGGTAGTGTTCTTTGTTTTTTTCGTGTTTGTGATTGGGTCAGCCGTATTCTTGTGTTTTTGTGTCGTTTTTTGGTTGTTTCTCCTTCATTTCATTCGGTTTTAGGGCTACTTTCATTCCTTGTAATCTCAGCCTCGTTTTTGCTTCCATTCTTGGGCGTTTTTTGCTCGTTCTGCTTCTTTAATTTCAGTTTTAGTGGAGGTTTGTTTCGTCCTCATTTTGTTTCGTGTCTTGTCATCGGTTTTTCGTGTCTCCGTCATATCTCCGCCTTCTCTCGGTGGAGATCTTCGAGTGGGTAGCTGCTGCTTGTGCCCCGCATGAATCTAGACTCTCATCTTGTCTTGGTTCCTCCTTTAATTAGTGCAGCAAATCAAGATCATTCTAAATCAGGACCTTCCTTTTCGGACGTGGTAATTATGGAAGATTTCACCAATCAATCTTCCGTGATTGTGGAAGCTGAATCTTCTACACAAGGCAAGGTCGCCACAATTCAAATTTCACCAACCACTTTTCCCGCCCATTCCACCTCACCCCTTGACTTGGCTAGAACTCCTCACCTCAGCCAACCACAATTCGCCAAGTTTACACCACTTGCCAAATCACCATCCTATGAGGATTTTTCTAGCCTCAAACTACCGGTCCCTAAGCCCATCTCAGCCCCTAACTCTCCTAAGAAAGGCCTATCTTCCACTCTAAAACCGGCTCACGATAATATTACTCAAATTCGAGCCCAAAACCCTAAAACGGACCACCTAAACCCCAATCTTGTGGCCCAAGCTGGTTTTATGTCCAATTCAAACACTAAAAATGATATTTCTATCCCTATTTCTAAATTGGACAATCATAATCCGAATTCCCAATTCCAAACCCAAAATCTCCAATTAAAAAACCCCAATCCCGAAATTGAAACCCCTAATCCCGAAATTCAAACCCCAAAATTCCAATTCCCAACCAAATCCTTTGCTGCTGCTGTACACGGTGATCTCGGACCTCCAATTGCTTCTTCTAAGGTGTATCGTCGTCGTCACTTGCTCCACCGAGAAGATATCGCTCCAATTGGGACAATTAAAGTGATAGATGGCAAGAATGTGCTCTATTTCTCGAAAGAGGAGGTTGATAAGATGCTTGAGCCGTTAAAGTACACCTTGATTGGTAAGTTTTCTCATGGGATACCTCACTACAAAGTTATGGAGAAGTTTATTTACGATTTAAAGCCCCGCGGTTCCTTTGAGTTGCATAAATTGAATTATCGGCATGTGTTGATTCAATTCTCGGTATTAGATGATTATTCTTTGCTTTTGAGAAGATCGATATGCTATATTGATGGGCTGCCCATGCGTGTTTTTAAATATACTCCGGGCTTTAATTTGAAAAACGAAACTTCTATAGCGCCGGTCTGGGTTAATGTGCCGGGAGTTCCTCCTTATATGTACAACCGGGAAGCTATATTCTTCCTTGCTTCTTCTATTGGAAATCCACTTGAGTTTGATGATTTTACAGCCGATCGAAAGAAGCTATCTGTTTCTCGATTTTGCGTCGAAATTGATCTCTTGAAACCGAGGGTTGAACAAATTCCGTTGATGACTGGCTATGATGATTTTGAGATGATTTCCTTGCCGGTAAACTACGAGAACGTCCCAAAATTCTGCACATTTTGTTCTCACCTGGGTCACTCGGTTGAAAATTGTTATATGAATGGAAATGCTAAAAAACCGGATTTTCCACCACCGCCACAACGGATTCCCAAACCCACAGCCCCACCAAAGGAAAAACAAGTTTGGCGACGAGTTGAAAAGAGGAAAAATGTTGTTGTTGAAAACATGGATATTCCTAAAACATCGGGGACAAAATCAACTGAAAATCCTAGTTTTTCTCAAGCTATTGTGCGGAATACTGCCGATAATATTAGTGAAGGAGATTTTGAGCATTACTTGGAGAGTGGGGTTCAAGAGGATATAGAGGCTGCTCATATTCAACCGGATGTTGCTTCCAAACATGTTCCAAAATCTTCGAAAAAGGGCCGAAAAAATACTTCTAACACCAAACAACCGATGAGTCCAGACCCTATAGATACTATTGCCGATGATCAAGCAGCTGATTTAGATGATATGGAGGCCTTATCCATGTCCAAAAAAAATCAGCATGTGTCTCCCTCCAAAAAGAACAGAAATCAAGCTTCTAGCTCCCGAACCGCAAAGGGGGCAGCCCTCTCAACCCCCTCTCTATCACCTTCAGCCACTTCGGTGGCCAAGGATTTTCCCCTTAATCATGGGGTACACGGACGAGAGGGGTCAGGACTTTCGGCGGGTACGGATCCGATTACACCTACGTCGGCTGCCTTATTTTGCGAACACTATGTGACCAAGGTCCGGCCCACGGCCGATCAAAATTTGGCCGGCACGCCTCCTTTCAATCACCTTGCCATGATCCCTTATGAGCCCGTGAGCCCAGCCACGAGCATACGCCCAGCTGATCACGCTACTCCGGGCTCTATCACTGATGAACCTTCGGCCTCGTGGCGATCGAGCCTAATTGATGCTGAGCGTTGGCGTTTGCAGAATGCCGAACGTTGGCATGCGGAGGAGGCCCACCTTATTGGTAACTCATTCTTTGTCACATCTCGGAAATCTTCAGATGGGTCGCATTCCCCCTCTTCTTGATGTCGGGTAAATTCTTGGTTTGGAATGCAAGGGGGGTAAAGAATAAGGCGACCCAATCCCACTTGCGCTTTATTTGTCGCCAACATAGAGTTAATTTATTGGTTATTTCTGAACCTATGACTGAGTTTGTGCATGATTACTATTGCCGTCGCTTGGGTTTCGTTGCTGGTTTGTCTAATTGTGCGGGGAAGATCTGGATTTTTTGGGATCACAATTTTTGAGTCGAGTTGCTTAGGGATGAGGTACAATTATTGCATGTCAGATGCATATCTGGTTTATTTGGTGCTCCTTTTGTATTTACTGCGGTCTATGCTAGATGCTCTCGTTCCGAGCGCCGTGTTTTGTGGAATTCGTTCCGCGACATTTTTGAGACGATTGGTGACACTCCTTGGATTTGTGGGGGTGACTTCAACTCAATCTTACTTGAGTCAGAACGGAATAGATCGGTTTCGGATAGAAGACTAGATATGGCTGAGTTTGGTGCTATGGTTTCGGATTGTGAACTTTCGGATGCCGGGTTCTCTGGGGCTAGTTCTTGCTATACTTGGGAGAGCCCTTCAGGTCTTTTGGAGCGTTTGGACAGGATTCTATATAACTCTGCTTGGCTAGATTTACTGCCTATTACGCAGGTTACCCACCTCTCACGGACCTGGTCGGATCATGCTCCTCTTTTGGTTTCATCGGCTGCTTCTTCGTCTAGGCCTCCTGCTTCATTCCGGTTTCAGCATATGTGGATCCGCCACGCTACGTTTCGTCAGATTGTGGAACAGGTTTGGGATTTTCCGTGTGCTCAGACGGGGATGCATCGATTACATACGAAGTTGAGACGATTGAAACAGAAGCTTCAGTGGTGGAATTGGAATGGTTTCGGGGACGTGTTCAAGAATAAAGAGAGGGCGGAGGCAGCTGTTCTAGAGGCCGAGCACATATATGACTTGGATCGATCCCCCGAGAATCGTGCAAATTTGAAAAAGGTCACTGCTGAACTTACTCTCATGCTCAATATTGAGGAGGACTTTTGGAAGCAGAAGGCAGCTTGTAGATGGGCGACTGATGGAGAGAGGAACTCTAAGTTTTTCCACTCGTTAGTCAAGAAAAAGCGATGTGTCAATCGAATCCACTCTATCTCTCATGGTGATTTGGTTCTCACATCAGCTCAGGAGATCAAGGATTCGGGCGTTGATTTCTTTAGCAAGCTTCTTACCGATGATATGCCTAGTTTGCTTCCGGTTGATGAGTCCCTATTTTCCGCTCCTCAAAGGGACTTTTCTTCAGTCTCTACTCGTCCGTCAGTTGAGGAGATCAAAGATGCGGTGTTTGGGATTTGTCGAGATAGTGCTTCGGGTCCTGATGGGTATTCTTCGCTATTTTATCAGCATTGTTGGGACTTGATTCAGTGTGATGTTTGTGAAGCGGTTTGGGATTTCTTCGAGGGTGGATCTATGCCTGCGAGCTTCACCGCTACCACCTTGGTTCTTATTCCAAAGGGGGACTTTCCGACGGCTTGGACAGATTTCCGCCCGATTAGCTTGTGCAACGTGACCAATAAAATTATCACCAAGGTACTTACGAACAGACTGGCACCTCACTTGCCCCACATTATTTCTCCTTCTCAGAGTGGGTTTGTTCAGGGTCGCCTCATTAGTGATAATATTTTATTAGCACAAGAGATAGTCCACTCGATATCAGTTCGTTGTCGAAATCCGAATCTTATTTTGAAGCTGGATATGGCAAAGGCTTATGATAGGGTTCAGTGGCGGTTCTTATTTCGTGTACTCGAGCTGATGGGTTTCTCGGCGAAC